ATTTGTTCTGGAAGAGTTTGTTGGTTGAAACCTATTGGCTGGAATTTCTAGTCATGCCATTAAAAAGGACAACGATTCTGACCCCTGATGAATAGCTCAGGAGTAAAATGGTTGCTAGGGATGCGAGGATTGCAAAACTGGTTTCAAATTATTGTACTCAGACAACATAGATAAATGGAGGTGAATTATTTGGATACTTCAAGAAAGTGGTGATTATGGATGGAGGATTCCCTGGAGAGAACAGAGGGGAGAAATCTAAAGCAATGTAATTACTGGAAAAGTGCGTCCAAGAACACGAGATGGGCATCAGGGAAGGTGGGCGGCGTATGTCACCATCAGCCTTGTCTTCCGAAGCGAGTGGTTCTGGGGAAAATGGTGACACATCCCAGGGGCGTTGGGTGTCCTGACTTTCTGTGTAGTGGTGGCTTTCTCCAGAGCTCTCTCTTTCTTCGGTTGTCAAGTCATCCTGGGTTCTGGTTGGCTTCTGTCTTTCCTTCCCTCTCCGACTCCTCCCCTGCCCCAACTCATCCACACACATTTTAAAAACTGTTTGAATGTGTTCCTGTTCCCAAGTGATTTTGCATATATTTGGCCTCTTCTAACATGTTAGATTGTATTTGTCAGACCCCCAGAGCTTGGGAAGCTTTTCAGAATAAAAGTGTTCTCTCTTTTATGTATCTTTGCTCTTTTGAGAGCAAAGCGGGGAGATCTTTGCTCTCTAATTATAAGCAATTCACATTCTGGGGATTTCAGGCCCCTGAAAGCATTGGGGGAATACAGACCCTTGCCAGTGCCTGAAAGACTGAAGGCAACCTGCTCCTTGTTCTCTCCAGTGCCTAGCAGAACCCCTTATTCAGGATATGCTTATTTAGACCTGGCTCTATGGAAAGGCGTATTTTGCAGAATTTGGTATCTGTTATGGACTGCGTGTTTGTGTCCCTCAGAATTTCTGTCTTCAAACCCTAACCCCCATTGGGATGATATAAGGAGCTGGGGCCTTTGGGAGGTAATTAGGTCATAAGTGGGGAGCCCTCATGATGGGATTGGTGTCCTTATAAGAAGAGACATGAGAGAGCTCGCCTCTCTCTCTCTGTCTCGCTCTTGCTCTCTCTAGCTCTGCCATGTGAGCACACAACAAGAAGACGGCCATCTGAAAACCAGGAAGAGAGCTCACACCAGACACCAGATCTGCTGGCACCTTGCTCTTGGACTTCCAGCCTCCAGAACTGTGAGAAATAAATGTCTGAGGTTTAAGCCACCCGGTCTACAGTAACTTGTAGCAACTCAAACGGACTAAGACAGTATCTTTAAGAGAAATGAGGGCTATGCTAATGTTCTGTTGGTTTCCTCAATTAGTCAGAGCAGAGAACAAACTTTCAACAAGACAGAGAAAGTTTACTCGAAGAACTTGGATTACCGTTCACATTTATAAAAATGTGCAGGAATGCTTTATAGGGCTGTGATTAACAATCTGTTCATGTTCCTTTAACAATCTGTTAAATATTCTGTGCATTTAAAGTAAAATAAATAAATAAGAGAAAAAGGCATGATTACCCTCATAACTATTAAAATTAGCAATATTAAATTACCTGTACTAAAATTGGCTATAGAAAGTGAGCAGTATTAACATATTCATTTAAATTAAGGATGCTTCATTTAATTTATATTTACATGTATATTTACAGAAGGTAAGAGATAGCTTGAAGAGGGGATCCAGCTAGCTGGGACAATTTCCATGAGGGCTGGACGACTAAGGCAGGAATACAGAAGATACTTATGAAACAACTTGGGCAAAAATGCCCAGCCTAGTGGCCTTTGCTTCATTTGGCCATGATTTTGCCCAGTGCCCAAGACCGCAGGTTTGGGGCCAGGAGGTGGCTTTGGGTGAGGTGAGGTATGTGGGTCCAGGCAGCCTGGGTTGCTGAGAGCCTGAATCCCTCATGACGAGAGGCTGAGGCCTGGTCATGACCTGGGCAGAGGGCCTCGGTGGACTGTATCACGTCTGTAAGGCCAGGGGCTCACTGACGCCAGCAGAGACGAGATCGCCAGCCTGGGCCAGGCTACGCAGGGTGGAGGGCTGTGGCTGACAGCTGCTGAGTCCCCCACCCATAGCTTCCCCCAGTAATGACCACAGCCTATGAGAGTGGTGTTGGCCATATTTGTGACAAATATTCCTTAAAGTATGATGAATTAAGATTAGTTACTTCCTCCCTCCCCTTCTGTAACTATATTTTATATTTCCCCTCCCTCAAAGATTCTGGAAGATCCTAAAGTGGTTGCCATGAAAAAAACAAGAGTTGGTCTGGAGGCAGATTCAGATAAAGGCTACCTCGGGTCCTTGTCACTCTCTGGGTGGTAAAAGCCATCCCATAGAGCCTGCCAACAGCGGCCCTCTGGTGTAGGTGAAACTAATTAGTAACAGTTACCATTTACTGGGTGCGGTTCCATGCCAGATACTGTTAAAATTGTCTATGAGCAGTAACTCAACAATCCTTTGGGGTGAGCATTTTTATTGTCCTCATTTGAGGAAGCTGAGGTAGAAGGGGTAACTCATCTGAGGTCATGCTTCTCATAATAAAAGGTGAGCTGTGATTTGAACCCAGAGAGACTGAGCTGGGAGCTGTACTGCTACCACTGCCCAACACCACCTTTCTTGCATGTATGTTAGGGTAATCATGCTCCGTGCTTTCTTGTGACCTGAGCGAGTCCCTCACTCCCCTTGTATCTTCACTTCCTCATCCTTAAAAGAAGTGGATGTGGCAGAGGAGAGAGTAGCATGCTGTGGAAAGGGCATGGGCTGTTATTCAGAAGAATTGCCTTCAACAGCTGGGTGGCCTAGAAAATGTATTTCGCCTCTCTGAGCCATATCTCAACGAATCTACACAGACTCTGGGCTACATGCCATTGGCATCTCTATTTTTTTAACAAAAATAGTAAGTCTCAGAGATGGGAGGGAAGTCAAGCCAGATGAGGAACCCACAGTTGTCTGAATAATTCCAAACCTGGCTCTAAGACACTAAACCACTTGGCCTCTCCTAATATTCTTCTGTGATCCTGATGTCTGTTGAATCTACTTTACAGAGTTGGTAGAAGGATCAAATGAGGCAATACCATCGAAAGAGCTTTGTAAATAAAACCCCGATGTGAAGAGGAGGTGCATTTGGTGTAGAGAAGATGCATCCTAGCTCTCCAGCGTGGCATGAATTTGCACATGTCCTGGGGGCTGGAAGTACTTGGCTCTGGGTAGGAGAAGTAAAAGAAAACAGATAATCTGTTCAGATTCCACTTCAAATTTGGGGGACCTTCTAAAGGAGAAGATTACAAATTTATGAATACCAACTTGCTAGGGCTCTTCCTCAGGCCTTGGAAGGGGCTTACTCTGGGTCTGCAATTTACAAGCTGTGTGACCTAGGGTAATCACTTAACCTCCCTGAGACTCAAATCTCTAGCTGGACGATGAAGATAATTATCTACCCTTAGGAATGAGTTTCTTTAAAGCTAAATGTTTGACTTCACTTGGAATCATGGTGAGATGGTCAATGTCATTTGAAATGGAAATGATAAGAAATTAACAGTGGGAAATAGATGAAAAAAATAATAAATGATGTTGTAAGGGGGCAAAAGCGTATGGACACCAATTCTGAAATTAAAGGTGGCTGAGAACAGATGTCCTGAAGGGGAACGCGGACAGCGTACAACTGGTATGTAAGCTAAAGCTACCGAGTGATGGACTGTGTTACGGAAAGTGCTACAGCCCCCCTCAAAACATCCATATGGCTCACAGAAAAAGCTTCATATCAGGGTTTGAAAGGACTTGTGCCAAGAGCCACAATGGAAGAGGAGACACAATGCTCAGTGACAGAGGAGGAGTCACTGAGAGCATCGGGCAGAGAAAATAGGAGTCCCCAATGCTGAGTAATGTCATGTGTGATTTTAAGAGAACCAATCAGATTTTTGGAACCAAAATCACCTCCAGAAGACTTATGCTTATTCCAGGCATGCTTCCATTGTTCAAAACTTCCTTTGTGGAGAAACCTTTAGACCCTAAAGTGGATTCTGTCAAATGCCTAAAATGATGGTAAGTCTTTCTTAATGGCGTCTAGATTTGGGGTATAAAATAAAAGCATTCTGAGCTGAGTCTAGGGATAAAGGTAGGTGAGCAACCTGGTAATAACATTTTGGGCAAAAAAATGAGAAATAAGTATAAAGTAATAAGACAGATTTTCTTTTGTGGTTAGTGTCCTAGCTCCGATGATATTTCTCAAAAAAAAGAGAGGTATGCTGTTAGAAGATGCCAACGAACTCCTCAACTAGCTGTCCTCAATTGAATGAAGAATTTCTTGTGTGTTTCCTTAAAAAGGGAAATAAGAGTGTGATATCTAGTGACTTACAAAACTAATATTCGATGTCCTCCTACATGATGTGGGGTTAATAATATTACCTGCTCATAAGGTTGCCATGAAGATCAGAGGACAGGGTGTATGTAAAGCTCTCAGCCCAGAGCTGGAATGTGTTAAGTGCTTCATGAATGTTAGCTAATGTGTTGTTGGTTTTCAGCACTTTCTTTTTCAAGTCACCTTGCTGGGAGCATCTAAAAATTATCATATTTAATGCTCATAACCACCCAAAGAGTTAGGGATTATAATCTTTGTTTTTCAAACTGACAAACCTAAGTCTCACTGAAAAGTATCAGGAATGAGTAAGCGGCCAGCGGCAGGATTGCAGCCCAGATCATTGTGGTTCCATGCCCAGTGCTCTCCCTGTGCACCACAGAGTCTCATGTGTGCTTTCAAGTTGCACACAGTATGGATTCGCGCAACTCTGCAGCTGCAGACAGGCTAGATGCTGCTCTCTCACTTAACAGATGAGAAATTTGACTAGGTTCCCCTGGACCAGTAAATTGGGGAACCTAACCTTGAACCCACATTTACTGCCTTCCGGCCAAGAGTTCTTTCTAAACTGGTGTGCACACACCCTCTCACACCAAGTCAACAAACCAGGTCAATCTGTAGATTTCCACTCTGAAAATCACAACTTGCCATCCTCACTTATTTCCTGAAATGTGATCCGAAAACATGCCGTAAAAGAAGATGCGTGGAAATATTATTTACTGGAAAATCTTTGTGATGAGCAAGGAAGGATTTGGCAAGATCATTTATCATCAGGATTAGTTGCGAAATGTGTGTGGAAAGGGATGGAACTTCTTCTTAGAAAAGCTCCGCCAGTACCATCTCCTTGCGTGTGCTACAACCTCCTACTTCAGATTTCTAGTTTCCTGTATGAATCTGGAGTCTCTTTAGCTCAGCAGGAGATGATCACTGTTGAATGAAATGCATGAAATTCTCACCACATGAAGCAATCTTTGACAGGGTCACTGTGGGTCTGTTGTGATGCCCCTCACCGAGTCTCCATTACTGTACTGAGGTGGAGATACCAGGGCGTCACCCACCGGTCATTTGCAACCTACAGATGATGCCATCACCACGGGCCACACAATGCGACATGCTATTCTTCCATTATTATGGGGGTGCAAGTTTTAAACTCGCTGCTCCTTTTTAAATCCCCGTAGAATGGTTCTAGTGTGTGGATACTTCTGGTGCTTAGACTACTGGGCAAATGGTCTTTCACACTATTTTCTTTTGGAGACTGAGACATCATTTGGCAAAAATGACCCTTGTAACCAACCACTCTTGGCTCCCTGGTGACTGGTGTGCCTGTTGGATTAACAGTGATCTTGCCCTTTGTGCATTCTGGTGCTTCTTGGAGGGAGGAGTGGTAAGTCGTCCATGTTTACCCTGTGGGATTGTGCCACGTGGGAGTTTTCCATTAAATACCTCTCCATGTGTACTGTGTGCTCGTGAGACACCATTACGTTTCTGACCACATCTACCACCCCGCTTAACTGGAAGGTGCTATGGCTTTGGATTTGTTAGTAATTTCTGTAGGTAAGAATTAAGACAAATGTGGACTCTATCTTTTTTTAATTGGTTAATGTTTAAAACAACTAGACTTAGATACTTGGGTTGAAAAAAGTGGTCTGTTTGGTTAGTCAGTGCTTGGGATGAGTGCATTCATCAATAAGCACATATTTACATTAGTTTCAGTAAAAACACATTTGTTTGTACAAATATGGAACAGAGTAGGAAAATGTTTACAGCATCCCCACTTGCCAACTCAGAGAGAACTCACCCTGCAGACAAACTGATGAATCAACCTCCCCCTCCCCCGAGGATCAGCACAGCACGCAAAGCAGCCCGCAGCTGTGGCTCTCCGTGGCTAACTTCTAAACATGGAATTCCCTCTTACAAGGAGCCTGGGTGGTCATCTGGTTCACTGGTGCCAAATTGGAGGTGTCCCCTCCAGCATCTGTGACAGGTGCTTCTCCAGCTCTTAGTGAACATGTTCAAAGACAGGATCCCTCCCTCCTTAGAGAATGGTGATTGCTTTTCTAAACAACTCTGTTGGAATATTCTTTTCACATTGATGCAAAGTCTGGATCCTTATAACTTCTTCCTATCTGTTCTAATTCTATCCTCTGGAGCCAAACAAAACAAAGCTTTTTCCTCCTTGAAACAATAGTGCTTCAAATATGTGACGGAAACTCTGTCATCTACCCTGTTTTTTTGCCTCCAGGAAACATCTAGTTCTTGAAGCATTCATGTTAAGACACAGTTTCTAGTTCTTTCGCCATCCTGGGTGTCCCGCCTTGCCTTTGGGTTTGGCCTGTTACTGAGACAAAGACCACCCCTCGCCTTTCGATCTCTTCCATGCTCCCACCCTGTTTTTGAATCTCCTCGGATAGATTGTAAGTACCCAGCCATCAATTAAAGTCAGAAAGTAACTGTTTTTGAACATCATATTTTTACTGTAAGGTTACGAAAATGCATCTGATCCTCTGCTCATGATCCATCAGTCGGTAGTTGGGGTAGAGACGTGTGTTCTGAAGTTTTACGTACTTTAGTCACTGTAATGTCTTCTTCTCCTGCAAAGGTAGTGTAGATGGCCCCGGCTGGAGTGTCCTTAGGGCAGAGGGTCTTAGTGAAGGGAGGGAGCAGTCCAGAAAGCCTGTCTCTTCACGG